GCTTCGTGGAGTTGGCTCTAGTATTTTGGCCAGTCTCCCAGCGGATGTGGGCCTGGAACAGGGGCTGCCCTTGGGGGCCTCTGTGCTGGTTTCAGTCCCCGCAATCACAGAAGAAGGCTGCACGAAGATTCCCTGCCTCCACCTCTAGGGCCTAACCAGCCCACAGCTCTTGTCTCTCTGCGGGGATGAGTGGTGGAAATTCAAAGCCAGGGGAAAGGGCCAGGAAAGAAATAATATTAACATTGATACCTTGAAAGTATAAAGATGTGCCAAGACTTAAGTCCTTCGGTTGTTTCTTACAATTCTTTCAAACAGTCATAAACAACGCTGGAAGTCCTGGAATTGTCATTCCATTTGGCTCTACCTGTATGCCTCCTCACTGTTTGTTTCAGGTTTGTTTTTTTCCCCTAACAAACACATGGTTGTTAAAAAAAAAATACATTGTTGTAAAATTGCTTAATGGGGTGGGATTGAGCTGCCTCAAAGAGGGGAGTCTAACAACCATAACTAATGAGGATTTATGCACTTAAAGGCTGTGCCCTCCAACTCCAGGGTGCCGGTGGAGAGAGTTTGGGCTGTTAGTCACATGCCTTAAAAAAACAAAACAGAACAAAAAAAAGAAAACAGTTTACTGGCTGTTATGTCCCTTCAGATATCCTACATTAAGGTAAACCTCTGATACCATCTGAGGCCAGGTGTTAATGCTGTCCCTTTAGAAGTGGCATTGTCTGGGGGTGACGCCGTCACTGGACTCCTGGCTCTTCCTCTTTCTAGCTCTGGGACCTTGGGCACGTCACTTCAGCTCTCTGTGCCGCAGGTCCTCATCTGTAGAATGAGGCCGAGGAGAGTCCTGACTTCACAGGCGTGTTGTGAGCTTGAAATGAACTGATTCCTCTAAAGCCTTTAGAACCGCCTGCTGAGGGACCTGTCAAAAGATTCTTAAGTACTGATTGTAAATTTAGGTTAAATACCAGGAGGGAGACGGGAGGCATGGCTGTTTCTCAAAAGGAGAAAGAGCTTTCAAACCTGGAGGTGATAGAAAAATGGAAAAGCTCTCTAGAGGCAAGTTCTGAAAGAGAAGAGGGTCACGGCTCCCACAGACAAGAGTGCAGGGGGCGCGCCTCCCCCCTCCCCTGCAGACAGAGGGAATGCAGGAGGGTGTGGGGGAAGGTTTAGAATGCTGTTGGAAGAGGTTCCTTTTCCAGTGTAAATGGTTCATTTCTGCAAGCTACACTTGCTTTTGGAAGACTTTATATAATAACTAAAACCCAGGAAAGTTGCGGTTACACATTTGTAGGAACTTAGGTTTGAACAGGTAACCCAAGTGCCATTTCAGAAGGTGCTTTTTGACTCTAGGGGGTGTCATGCACCCCTACCACCTAGGGACAGCATACCTCATATAGGGACAGCCTTTAGAGAGGCTTAGAAATGGTAGCTTTGCCTTTCTCTCTCTCCCCCCCATAACTCCCTGACATACACTCTCCTGGCTCAGTTCAGCCGCAGCCTCTGGTTTTGAACACAAAGGACATTTGTTGCACGTAATCATTTTCTAAAGCTGGCCCATTTCCATTATGAATAATCATGACACAAGGGGTGAAGGACAAAGGTAACTCCACGCTGGAAACTACTAAGAGGCCACGATTCATTTTTGGTTTCTTTATTGAGCAGCGTATCTCAGATAATTTGCAGCAAAGTTTTACCCTGGAGCAAGTTTCCTCCGTCATGTTAAATTCATGGGGAAAATCCTCCTAGGATTTAGAGTTGAAAAATAGCTTTAATAACGGAAACGCTGATGTAAAGAGCAGGGAAAGGCAGCATGTTCTAACCATTTAGGGAAAAAAAATGGGTAAGATGTTACTAATAAGCTGTGCGATATTTTTATGCTACGTTTTCTTCATCTTAAGGAATACAGAGATGAGCTTTTAAATTCTGAATGATTACCTGACAGCTTCCATCCCTAGGGCAAATTATTAGCAAGGGTTTCATTTTGCTATTACCTTTACTTAAAACTCAGAGGACACATGCTTACCAGAGCCAGACGAAGAAGATAAGGTGCATGGACAAGAGTGTGGTGAGCAGAATTGTGAAACCAACTACGTCTTGATTCCCTTTCATAACCTTTAGGGACACTGACCTTCTTACCAGGGGGGCTGAGGGCAGGAGCTGGCAGGGCCTACAGCACCCTCTACCTGACTTTCCAGCCTCATCCCTATTTCACCCCAACCCATCCGACCACGTACACTATATTCCAGTCATGCCAAACTGCCCGCTGGTTCCCAAATATGCCATGTTTTTGAACATGCTCCTTCCACCCACCTACTCGCCCCTTTCCACCCAACCTCTGGCTCATCTTTCAAGACTTCTCTCCAATGAGACTTCTTCCAGAAAATCTTCCAACCCCAGGCATAGTTAGTGGCATCTTCTGCTATCCTCCATAGTGCCCAGTACCTGATTCGACTGAGAAACTTAGGTTGGAATTACTAGTTCAGTGTCAACTCCCCTTGGTATCCCAGAGATGGCAAGGACTTCAATCTCAGAAACCTGTACCCTCCAGCCCAGGGGTTCCCAACAGCAGCAATATCAACATTCTGTGCTGGAAAATTCTTTGCTGTGGGGGTTATCTGGTGTATTACAGGATGTCGAGCAGCATCCCGGCCTCTACCCACTAAATGCCAGTAGCAACCGAGCCCCAGTGTGACAATTAAAAAAAGGCTCCAGACATTGCTCAGTGCCTCCTGGGGGACAAAGTTGTCCCCCATTGAGAACCACACCCTAGTCCTAACAGAGATCCTGGTATATACAAGGTGCTTAATGCATATTGGTTGAATTAATAAATTAAAAATTAAATAAAAAAAATTCTGAGTCAAATGAATGAAGACCTTCCTGTAGCTTTTACACATTCAACAAATCAAACGTGAGATCTTCATTCTGGCAGTCACATCTCTTTATGAAGCAGCTCTACTTTCTTCCTATCTTTCTGTCATCTGTGGGCTCTTCACAGTCTCATTGTTTTTCTTTCCATCAATCCAAATGCTGTATTTACTTTAAGACAAATAACAACTTACCTACTTCAAAAAGCGTTCCCCAATTCATTCGTGTTCATTCATACAAGAACACACAAATTCTTTTTGGTCTTATAACTGTTTATTATCTTTTTGTTCACAAACATGCACAGGTATATTCTTCTCCACTAGAAGAACCATTCTTGATAGAACGAAGGCCTTTCCCCTGAAAGTGTTTTCTTCCCCTTAGCTCTATTGTAAGTTTTATGAACAACAGATGTTTAGCTTTGGCTTGAAGTATATTTTTCCTTTAAGCAACTGGCATTGTGTTAAATCTGTGTGATTTGTGTGGTCCTGACAGTTTTGTTTTTAAGAGGCATAGGGCTAACTCTTTAATATCTTGCAGTTTTTGATAAACTCATTTCAAGAAGATTCTGCAAATATGAGTAAAAGTAATTTGCAATGTGTTAGGATTTCTGTGAGAAGGCACTAAATATAATAAACACGAGAAAGGCAGAAATGGCCACATTTTGCCTTGGATTCTGATTGTGCTCAAACTCCTCTTAGGCTTCCTTTCTCCATGGCTTCATAAACTATGAAACTTCAGCCTTCCTTGTTTATTCTGCACTCTCTAATCATGCAAGCCTCCCTTGCACCCTCCTTCAGGCTTACATGCAACTCCTGTGTGCATTTTCCCCAGTGCTTGTGTTGGGAAATTTCCCCAAACTTCTGTTCTGTAGGGCATTTTTTTCTCAAATTGTTCTTGGAGGAATTCATGCTCTGACCATGTGTGCTCTCTCGCAGAGCTTCTGACCCTCAGTGTTCAATGGCAGAGTTCAGGGCACAACCCCCAGAATGTACCATTGTTGCATTTGAGCTCCCTATGTTTGTGGCAGGACGAATACTGAGTTGGCATACTGAAATGTGGTAGGGTGGGGAAAAACTTCTCTATCTGCACCGCGAATTCTTGCAACCGACTGACTCCAGGTTTGCCTGTTACCGAGCTTCTCAAATGCATCACGTCCGAAACCAAATGCAATTTCCCTCCTACTCCCATGGCTTGCTCCCCCATTGGCCCCTCTATTAAAAACTATCAATTTCAAGCTAGAAACAGAATTTCATGACTTGTGTGTCTCACTGTTGATTATAAACTTCTGAAGTCTTTTGACTCTAATTTTTTATGTTGAGAGATGATTAAAATTGAGTTCTCTGCCTGTTTTCCTGCTTGTGTATATCCCGTCCTCTGTGGAAGAACCAGACCTGATTGCCACCTGTCCCAAAAGTTCCTTGTTCTGAAGGCGGTGGAGAACCAAGTCCAAATTAAACCTGAATTCAAGGTCCCTGCCAATGCAACTCTGTCACACATTCCTTCAGAGCCTAATTTCTTACCACTTCATTGACATGCAGGGGATGATCCAGTCCTACCAAAGTACATTCTCCATACTTTCTTTTTTCAACTAGAATGTCAAGGCCCTGCTCAATGCTCCTTTGCAAAGCACCTTTACCCATGGCCCCTTAGCAGAATTGATCACGACCTCCTGTGCCTCCAGAGCACTTAACTTCTAGTTCTATTCTGCCCCCGTGTAATGCAGTGGCTTTCACATCAGTCACTGACTGAGCTTAAGGAGTTCACGGTCTAGTGGGGTGAGCAATGTTATTTTATCTATTTGCTGGCCTGTCATCTCACCCATCCATCCACCTATCCTCCATCTTTCCATCAACCTGGAAATGAGCATTTTAAAACTACCATGTCTAAGATCCCTGCAGTACTAATATTCTAGGATTCTGAATATTACTTAACTTCTACACAGAGAGACAATAGTGCACGTTACAGGCTAAATGCATAATACGGGCATCCCGAATCATTCATGTCTTGATGACTGTTAAACTTCCAGGGCTCAATAATAAGTTAGTAGGTGGCTCAATACATGTGTTGAATGAACAAATGAGTTAATTCTCAGAAGTTGATGAAAAATTGACTTAGGTAGAATAAAAAACTATTTTTACAAAATTATTTATTTCTTTCAACTGCTACAGATAATTGTCAGTTACATATATTATGTATAATATTCCCTACTCCACAAAGCACTCTCTGAGCAACACAGATGAGCACACACTGGCATGCCTAGAGCAGTTAGGGCCTAGCCGTAGCAGGCTAGCAGTCCTGTAAGAATACAGTCCTTGACCCTGTAGCCTGAGACTCTTGCTGCTAGGACTGAGACAGATACTTACCTGTCCCAACCAGGCAATGCCCTAGCAGCATCAGCTGGGTTTTAAAATTGTTAACTTCCAATTTCACCAATCCTTTTCTTCTCTAACACGTTCCAGTCCTTCTCCCAATTTTCTTTTCATCTGCTTGTGTCTATTACCCCATTTTTGCCTATATTCCAATCCTATAACCCAAAAACACAAGAGAATCACTACGTGAAATGATTTGAATTAGAGTCAATACCCTAAACATTTTTAGTTTTTCCACATAGTACCAAATTAGATACGTATCATGATCCTTGTTTCTTTTAAATGATTAAAACTGACTTAAGTGACAATAACTGTGACAATACACATACCCATATTTGCTTTAAAGTCTTTATTATCTTGAATATAAAAGACAGAAGTCCTCTAGGATATAACAGAGTTCTTTATGTGGAAACATTTTTTTTAAAAGTGAAAAAATAAATACCTCTTGGAATAAAGGTTTATATGCTAATATGTGCCATAAAAAAGTAGAGTTTTAATATTTGACAAAATGTCTGTGCAAAGAAACAAATGCATAAACACATTACTGCTACATTAAGGCAATATGAAAAGTATATGCAGAAATTTCAGTAAAGTGACAGTGTAGGTTTCTAGCTTTTACTTAGCTAGTATTGCACCCGATAAGGTCATGTAGGTTTCCTGACATCCCAGAAAACCTGCTAGCTGACCAGCTTCCAAAATGCCCAAGTGGGAGTGGAAAACATGTTTAAGAATATAGAAACAAAAAGAACCAAATCCTTTCTTGAAACAGACAGAGGGGACAACCAAAAGTTAATACTTAAGCATTTACTTAAAAAACAAACAAGCCCCCCCCCCCCCAAAAAAAAAGCCACAGAAAAGGATACAATATCTAGATACCTATGATAAGGCTGTAAAAGGCTTGATACTTCAAGCAAGCGACACCCATGGGTGAAGCTGGAGTCGAGTGCTTGTGGGAGGTGAGGACTACCCTTGTCTGTATACCACGAGGCTTCATCTCTCAGTGAGCTATGCTTTCCCTTCCTGAGGAAAATGCTCTCCCTTTTCAATCTTCCAATAAAATACTCCACCAACTCAAGAGACCCAAGGAGTGCTCAACTATTCCACAGAAATCTGTTAACCAAATTGGCAGCATTTTGTAATTGAAAGGCTTGGGAGCTAGAAAGAGGGAGAGGGAACTAGGGAGCCACCCCGCGTTGAGTTCTCTGCTTTCTGCTAGCCAGACTGGTTTCAATCTGACAACACTATTGTCAACTTTTTAAAAGTCACAGAATTGATTTTTAAATGTTTGCCTTCTAATCATTCTTGAACAAGTTATAAAAACGGAAATGACATTAAAACAATGACTATTTCTTTAAGAAAAATTTTCCTATTAAAAATGTTCAGAGCTCCATGACCATACAAAAAGAACAAAATAAAGTCTTAGAACTAATTCTTACAAAATCTGCTGCAGGTAGGAAACTTACCTTGGGATGCATTAAGGAGATTTACAACAGCATTTCCTAAAAGGTACCCACTTTTTGGCTATGTTGCCACCTAACTGACATCAAAGAAGATTTTACCTATTCCTTTATTTGATCATAAAAAAATTAAAGTCCAAGGAAATGTGCCTTTGTCTGAGAGCTCTTCCTGGTCCCCACACCGGAGCTGTTGGGTCTACGCATGGATGTGTTTTTGCGGTGGAGTAACTGTATTGTTATTTTTCTTCCTTTTTTTTCCTAATGTCGCATGGCAGATGGGTGTTGGAAGAATTACTTTCTCCACAATCTATCAGTTTTATAGTTTGTAATAGTGCGGTTTATGGAAACATGGCAAGTCTGATAAACGCACAACAATCAGATCACAGTTAGATTGAGAAGACTGGTGTGGGTGGGCAGATAGACGTGCTGGACGTGTTCTACACGCGACCTGCAGACGGGGCACGACTGGAAGAGAGAAGCCAACAGTGCCTGTTAGAACAGCTGGCAGGGCTCACCCTCCACACCCCAGGCATTCAGTTTTCTAAATGAGTTGTCATCAATGACTTCCAGCTTTCAATTGGTAGAGATCTTTGCTTTCTAAAAATTTTGAAAGTTTATACTTTACAAGGGCTTAAAAATAAATATTATGAAAAATATAAACTGAAGGAAAGACATTAGTTTAGTCAAACTCTAAAAAAGGCATGGGCCGGCCCGGTGGCGCGCCGCTTGGGAAGCACGGTGGCGCTCCCGCCTGAGGGTTCGGATCCCACATACAGACCGGTTCCCGCTCACTGGCTGAGCGAGGCGCGGGAGCAGCGCCGAGGGTAGCAATCCCGTTGCCGGTCCCCGGTCCGGTACGGGGGCAACACTGAGGGTTGCGATCCGTTGCCGGACACGGAAAAAGATAAAAGACAAAAAAAAAAAAAAAGGCACACAATGGGTAAAGGAATGACTAAAGATTATGATGACTTGGGCAGTGATGCAGGAGACCCTTCTAGAGACTGTGTGTCCTTGGCTCAGCTGACTGACTCGGGCCACCATGACTGGGTGGATGCCCACGTGGCTTTGCGCCTGGTCCCAGGTAACAGCCCTACATTCCTGGCTGGCTTCTCAGCAAGCGTGTGCCCTTCCTCAGCCACGAGGAGAGAGTTAGGCACGTGGGTCAGAATATGTGGGCAGAAAAAGACAAATCCACGACTGCCCCTGGGGAAGTAACGCATTGTGGCTGCATGGGCTACTCTGCAGGCTCACTAGCTAGCCTTAAAGTTTTATGTAGCTTTACATAAAACCACCATGACAAATGGCAAACACTTCTGAAAAATGAAGCTGAACTGAAAAAAATTACTGTAAAAGGAAATGTAAAGTTCCTCTTCATGTAAGAAGAATGCAAGAAAGGAAAAATACTATATATGTTATTTCTATTTTTGTGCATTAATTTTAAAATTAGTTTGAATTGCTAATAAGTAATAGCCATTCCAAGAAGCCCTAGAAGCATATGCAGTAATAAAAGGAAATTAATCACAAATAATCGCAGAGTAAACAACCCACTCATGGATAACTGAGAGTTAACTATAAAACCAAAACTCTAGTACTATTTCCCAAATATTTTAAGTAAATAATAAAGACCATCCTCCTAAGTGTCAAAAAACGGAGGCAACATGAAATGGAAGAGGAAGCGCTGGACCAGGCCTCACAAGTTCTGGATTCTAGTCTTTGGTTCAGCCACTAAGTAGACATGCTACCTTGTGAATCTAAGCCTCATTTCCAGCACCAGAAAACAGTCTATGATTTAGAGTGATTATGCTGCTGAAAATAATATGCTACTCCAAAATGTTTCCAAAGGGCAATTCCTTTTAAGTCGCCAAATACAAAGACCCTTTCCAGGTCCACCCAGAGGTAGGCATTCTTCGTCTATGTATTAGTGAGCCAAGACCTGGCACCTAGCAGGCACTCATTAACTACTAACTGGAGGGACAGGGGAGCCAGCCAGGTAAAAACAGGCCAGCTGACACCCTCACCTGCAGCTGGGCAGCACAGCTCTCACAGCACACAGTGTGGCCACAAGGACAGAAGGTGGAGTTGATCTCCTCCTCGCAGCACACCATGCACAGCATGGCTTCCTTCAGCTTGCGCAGCTTCTCCTGCAGCGCCCTGGTCTGCTGGCAGCTGAGGCCCTCACAGCTGCTGCAGTTCAGGCTGCTCTCTGAGGACTTCAGAGGAGAGTTTGGAGGGCTCTGGTCACTTCTAGAAACGAGGTCCACAATGCCAGCATTGTACAGCGCCCTCCTGGCATGGTCATATACCTCCTTTGATGTTCTTTTAATATCGAAGACATACTTCTTGCCAAGGTTAATGTTCTCATTCAGAAACAGAGACGCCAAGTGGCCCTTCAAGTCGCGACTATACTGCATCATGACGGCATTAGTCACCGTGTCACACCTGAGAGGAGAGATTGAACATCTACTTTAATATGGAAGAGCCCAGGCAGCTCTATAATTTAGACCTTCAGACACTGCTGTCAGTGGGAACAGTCATGTCAGCAGTCATTTATTCTTCTTGTTTGTATACATGAAAGTACGTTCTTCCAGTTTTTTTATGTGTTAAATATCTTAATGATTCCACCTTTGTTTCTCAAATGTCTCCCAAGAACTTCTGATAAAGCAGCTGTAAATATAGAAGACAGTGAACATGTACCTCCTCCTCCTCCAGGATATGAGCTACAGTCTCAAGCAGCTTGTGGGAGAAAAAGGACATTTTTCTTTGAATTCTTGGCTTTTACGTTAAAAACACCTATACATTTTCCATTCTGTTCCACAATTTGTGTGTGTATTTTTACCTAAAATTTTTAAGATTGCCTACCAATTAAATTTCTTGATTTTAATTTTCCAAATATTCAAGTCCAATCACAACTCGGCTTTAAAGTACCCTCTGAAATGAGAGAATCAGTATTGTTATTAAGAAATTCCTATGACGTATGCAGAGAGGATTTAGGAGAGCAGCTCTCTCAGAAAGGAAAGACGCCCTGTGTCATCCTACTGCTGGAAAGGGGCACAGGCCCCAGCACTTCGGGTTGTCTTGGGGAGAGGAGGTGGTATAAGAAGACCAGGTAAGAGGTGTGCAGGGGACTATGTTTATGTCGCCCCTAACATACCCTTTCTGTGGTTGAAGGAGGACTCCACTGCTATTGCGAAACATGACGGTCAAAAGCAGCCCATTTCTTAAATTCTATACTAGACTCATTGACACAACAATACAAGGAACTGTAGATACCTGGTTGTCACCTAAAAATCTTAGGGCTGGGACGCTAGGGTTATCAAGGAAGTAGCCATACGTGCCTGTAGAAAGCATGCGTTTCAGTTATCGCTCGGTAGAGCCCGCTGGCCGCCCTGGTGCTGATCATTTTAAACAGCAGCACGATGCTATTCCCAGACTCCTTGGTGACTGTCAAGTACACGTTCTTTCCTGACTGGGTGGCCATCTGCACCACAGGATAAGCTATCCTAAAAGATGGGAAGAGAAAAGTGAGCAAGCCCGGAAGGAGTGATGTATCACAATGTGCGTGCCTTTGTAGGGTCCCCATTTGCTCACGACCCAGCAGTAAAATCAGGTACTTAATCTGGGGCTATCATACAACCATGTGCTCCCTAGTTATAAAGGCACATTGAAAAGCAGGTGTATATATGTGGAGAGAAGTGTTGAAGCCAGTTTTGGGTGTGTGTGAATTATTTGAAAAATATTAACTGCCACATCAGTACACTTTGAGTTAGCATTAAAAAAATAATTAAATAGTTATTAAGGCCTGAACAAAGTTAATGTAATACCAAAATGTTATGTTTTATTACTAAGAGATGGCTGTTTAGTAAATCCCTCTCCATTTTCTATTTTCATGATGACACTTACAGATATACAAGCATGCTTAAGTATAAAAAAACTTAAGACTTGGGTTACCTGTTAATTGGGCTAAAGTCATCTTTACAAATTGAGATTCCTTCAGGTCCAACCCCAATGAGGAGTTTCTGCCCTTCGCTGTCCCTCACAGAATGCCACTCTATGCCATAGTTTTCCATTGCCGACACAATCTGCAAAACTTGGTATTCAGCAGAAGCCTGGCTGGTCCCCTCCAACTCCTTATGCTTTGCAACAATGCTATAGGACATGAAAAGGGCAGAGTTATACAGAGATAAATTACAGTCTTTAGAGATTAATCTGTATACTTTTCACTGGTGAATTACGCTGATATGAACACGTATGAATCACAAAATCCTACAACTATATATTATTGATGTTTCATTTATTTAGCAAACTTACCATAAAGTATTTCCAAGACACTGTTCAAGATCTCGACTATCAAATAATTAGCAGGAAACACTTTCGGCGATGTTGGATGGGGAGGAGTTGGAAGAATTGTAGAAAATCTCTAAAAATATGTGTAAGACAAATTTCTCATGCATTTGTCTATAAATACTTTATAAGTTTCATTATAATAGAGCGTTATAAGGGACTGATTAGACCATTTGCGACTGAAGAAAATACAAAATTTATTTTTATTGTAGCAGACAGCCTCTGATATGGTCCTTGATGATCCCTCCTGGTATTCACAGCCTTGTGTTATTTCCTCCCCTTGAGTGTGGGCTGGATTAATGACTTGCATCTAATGAATAGAATATGGCAGAAGTCATGGGATGTCACTCACTTCTGAAATTATTACAAAAAGACCTCGACTTCCATCTCTAGTGTTCTCTCTTGCTCTGACTTGGATCACTCGCCTTGGGGAAAGCCAGCTGCCAAGTCATGAAATCACCCTGAGGCGCATGTGGTGAGGGAAGGAGGCCAGCCCATAAACCACATGAGACAACTGGAGTGCATCCCTCCCTCAGGTGAGCCTTCAGATGAGGCTGAACTCACCATGAGGTTGGCTGCAGAACAGGCAGATAATGTTTGTTGTTTTAAGCCACTAAGTTTTAGGGTAACTTGTTATGTAGGAATGGAGAACTAAGATGCCTACGTTAGGCCTCTTGGTTTAATTCTTGCTGGGATGAAAACACCAATATACATGATAGATCTTTTATTAAAAGATTTAAAAGATTTACATTCTTAAAAGATTAGATTTAAAAATTTTTCATTATATAATATTTCCCATAAGGGCATTTATTTGCATAGACTATGTTTGTGTTTATAACTTCCTCAAATAAAAGGCTAAATAAATATTTTGAAAAAAATTGGTTAAGTTGGGCAATGGCCCAGTCTCAACCTCACAATTATCTGTATGTACCATAGATTCATTTTCTTTTGGAAATGCTTATACATTTGATAGCTCTGTTAATGTAGATGTTAGCCTTGACCACAGCCTCACCTGTTTAAGGCAGCACTGGAGAGCTCCTTTGCACACAGCTCCTCGTAGTTGTACTTGGCAGTGTTTTGGTTGTAGTCCCCAAACTTGGTCTGGGCCAGGAGGGCACTGAGTTCCACTGCCTGCTCTGGGGAGCAAAGGAGGTGGCCTGCCAAGAGGGCCTCCTTGATGTGCAAGAAAAAAATGTGCCTGTAAAGCAATGTGAGAATGAGGTTATGCTCGGGGATAATTGCATATCAGACCTCACCTGCTTAGCAATTTCACAGTCACTTTTAAGTAGGGAAAACAGAGCAATTTCACAGTCACACTGAAAATGCTTAACGTTAAAGAACGCTTTTTTATCATTAGCATTAAGACAAAATAAATAAGCACTAAGTTTATTAGGAATAAAAATTATAATGCAAACAAAACAAATCTAATTAAAACAAGTTCATTAACATTAGAATTACAAACTATAAAATAATTATACAAAAAGTTCTGCATTATAAAAAAATTTTAAAAGAAATTATCTTAATGAGAAAAAAAATTTATCTGGATGTGGATTCAGATTTAATCTTAAAGAACTCCATAAAAAGGCAATATCTTCACCTTTTTTTCAAATGATCCCCAAATCTCTAGTCTAAGCCCCAGCTTCTGTCCTTAGAATCATATTCAAATATCCAACCACCACCTGGAAGTTCTTCAGTATCTCGATTTCAGCCGTTCAAAACCAAACTCACTGTTTTCTTTCCCAAATCCACTTTTTCTCCCAGTGGAAACCACAGACTCACTTTTGACTCTTCATCTTATTTCTGCCTACTTTCTTGTCACTAAAAACTCTTTAAACGTAGTTCCATTTTCTCCACTTGTACCTCCTCGACCCCACGTGCAGCTCTCAACTGTCAGAAAACTTACAATGTCCTCTGAGCCACATTCCTCCTCCAGACTCTGTGCTAGTCCCCCTTCCAAGCTGCTTGCTTCTACTGCCAACTTGTCATTTCTCTGCTTCAAATCCTTCAAGGGATCCCCACCCTTTGGCTCAGCTATCCAGCCCCATCTCCTGTCATTATCTCCAGCCACTATGCACCAGAAAAGGGACAATTTCTCTCCCTGGAAAGTGCAGGAAGCACGTTCATGCCCCTGTGTCTCTGGCCTTGCTGCTCCCTCTGTCCTGACGGCCAGTTTTTCTGTAGCCTCACTTAAATATCCCTTGGTCTATACTGCATACAAACCAGCTATTCCTCTATTATAGTATTTGACATATTATAACATGTATAACGGTTATATAGTCAGCTGCACGTAAGCTGACTTCTCAAGCACCTTCAGCATCAGAGAGCTCCATAAATACAGGTAAAACTGCATATTATCTATGATTAGTTTATAATTCCAACCTTCCTTTCATTCTGTTTGAGCCTGTCCTAACTGTATACAATATTATATTCTGCATTTACTGAAAAAATTCAGATATTGTTTGCATTGCCCAAAATCCTGAAGAGAATATCTAAACTACCATAGGCAGATTAGCCTAGATTATAAAATTTGTCTCTTGCAAATGTGAAGTTTTAACCTTCCTTTGATGACTTGTGATAACCTCTCAAACATGTTTAGATGACACAATCTCCTTCCATTAATAAATGAATTACAATCATTGGTACTGCTCTGAACATTACATAACTCAGATCCCTACTTTGACCAAGTGTGCTATCCTTATTCCAGTCCTCAACATTGCTTTTATTTATACTGTTGCCCCTTCATATCTGCAGGTTCCCTACCTGTGGATTCAACCACAGATGGAAAATATATGGGGGAAAAAAAAACAACCAATAAAAATTAGCAATACAGTAATAAAAAACAATACAAATAAAAACCAATATAGTTTAATAATTATTTGCATAGCATTTACATTGTATTAGGTATTACATGTAATCTAGAAATGATTTAAAGTATACAGGAAGATTGCATAGATTATATGTAAACACTATGCCATTTTATATACAGGTCCTGAGCATCTGGGGATTTTGATATCTGTGGAGTCATTGAACCAATCCCCTGAGGATAGCTAGGAACTACTGTACACTGTACCTGCATCTGACATTCCAGGTAGAGTGAATAACGTGAGCAAGGTAAGTAAAAGAAGTAGGAGAAAGTGAGGCTACAAATATAGGGAGGGGCTACACTGAGCATCTCCAAATATCAGGCTGACAAGAGCATTAATCTTCCTTTAACTAAGAAATGTTTAAATTCAATGTTCTGGGCCTTCTATGACAATAAAGAAACATTTTAAATGATCAAACTTTGCCAAATAATGCAGTTTTTTTCTTTATTTAAAGCCCCTATACAGAAATCACAATAAGAATGCATAATAGCATTGAAAGAAGATAAACATGGTTTTTATTAACCCAAACATCTGCTAGTCTTTAAAGTGTTTCTGACATACTGCTAAACTGAGAAGGGGGCTCCACTGGGGCAAAGAGATGAGCAGAAAAATAACTTGTTTTAAAATAGCTATTTGGCGACTGAGGTCTAGCATTCTCATAAAACCACGGTGTTACAATACAACACTGCTTCAGCCCTCAAATGGCTTTTTAGATGACCAGTCGGTAAACTTGCTTTTCGTTAACATACCTGTCTCTGAATTTGATTGGGAGGGGGTGTGTTATTAGGAAACTAAAATCTGAATCTATGCCTATGTTGAAGAAGGAATTATGTGCTCAAAGATTATAAGGATATTAACACCAGCTCTTTTCCATTTAATGACTTCTTAAGTAAAAGTGTCTTTTAACTTATTTTCCAAGTATCAAGTTAGAAACTAGTTCCTGCTTTATTAAGTAGTAAAGTATAGCCTGCAAATGAGTTTCGAAACTCATTCAATTTCTTTTTCCAAACCATCCACGCCTGCTTCTGGAGAGACAGCTGCCAAATCAAAGGCAAAGAAGCAAATCAAAGGAGCAAAACATAAGCAGGTGGTCAGCAGCCTGAGAGTAACACTGGTCCTTTCCCCACATGAGGGCCAGAGTGTAAAAACAGTGGAGCGAGTGGGCAACTGGCCTTGTCTACACACTCCACATTCTAGGCACAGTCCTCACAATCCAACCAATCACCTCTCAACAGCCCTACCTTTCAAATATCATAACCGGATTTCCCATCTTTTTAACACTGTTACAGTGAGGATTAAGCTTCTAAAACATGAACTTTTGGGGGACACATCTGACCCAAAGCACATGGGTACAAATGAATTCATACTTACTGTAGCATTATGGAAGATAGAAATAAAACAGGTGAACATGAGGATAAGCCAAATTTTAATTTCAAAAAAGAATCACGTATTCTCAATATATTTTTGTTTCAAAGTACTTCAAATTTCCTTTTTTTTTTTTTTTAAAAAGATGACCAGTAAGGGGATCTTAACCCTTGACTTGGTGTTGTGAGCACCACGCTTTTCCAAGTAAGCGAACCGGCCATCCCTATATAGGGATCCAAACCCATGGCCTTGGTGTTATCAGCACCTCACTCTCCAAAGCGAGCCACGGGCCGGCCCAAATTTCCTCTTTTTTAAAAATCAATTCCTTTTTATGGTGTTAAGGAATGAAGTCACACCATTTATCTTTTAAAAGTTGTAATCAGAGAACTCTCCTCTAAATACTGGCTTAGGGCCGAGCCCCATGGCGCACTCGGGAGAGTGCGGCGCTGGGAGCGCAATAGCGCTCCCACCGCGGGTTCAGATCCTATATAGGGATGACAGGTGCGTTCACAGCGCTCACTGGCTGAGCGCGGTGCGGCCGGTATCAAAAAGGACAAAAATAAATAAATAAATAAATAAATAAATACTGGCTTATCTCATGAAGCAATCATCTCATAATCAAAGCAGAACTTCCTGAAAACCAATCAGGAGTTGTCAGTCTGCTCATCGGGACAGTGACTCTCAGTTATTGCCCTCCAGCTATCTCACCAGTTACACCATTTTGAGGAGCTTTTCATGACCAATGTAAAATAACAATATCTGAGATTCAACATTAAACTCACAATTTAAGTAACTAGCCTAAAACGTGTTTAAAATGGCCAAGTAGCTATTTTTAAAAACTCTCAATTACCAATCACTGAACTGCATTTGTATCTGAAAGGCATGAGCAAACCAAGGCATGACTGGCCATGGGGAGTAATGGCTGGTGTGTCCCTCATCTCCCAAGGCAGACCCCCACTGTGATCATCAGTACACATGTCTCAGTCCAGTGAGTCACTTAACCACATCAGTCTATTTTAAACCAAACTGTGTCTGCCAAGTTATATTTAAAAACTATCAAATCAAAACAGAATTGCTGTAAGAGTTTTGTTTTGTATTTTAAACTCCAGTAAAACAAAAATCAGTTCAAGATGGATCATAGGCCTAAATGTGAAAGCTAAAAACATAATGCTTTAAAAACTCAATATAAAAGAGTATCTTCATTGCTTGGGAGTAGAAAAGGTTTCTCAGGAGGCAGCCCACAAAAGCCACAAAAGAAGAAAAATGGATAAATTAGACTTCATCAAAATTAAAAACATCTATGTATCAAAAGACATCAGGAAAACAGGCAAGCCATAGGAAGAAATATATTTACAAAACAGATATTCAATAAGGAACAAGTATCTAGGATACATAAATAATTTGTCAGCACCACGCTCAGCCAGTGAGTGAACCGGCCATCCCTATATGGGATCCGAATCCGGGGCCTTGGTGTTATCAGCACCGCACTCTCCCGAGTGAGCCACGGGCCGGCCCTACATAATTTGTACAACTCAAAAATAAAGGGAAACAACTCAATAAAAGCACATAAATGACTTAAATAGATACTTCACAAAAGAAGACATATGAAAGGACAATATGCACACGAAAAAGTACGTAACATTAATTGGCAGAGAAATGTAAATTTAAACCACAACACTCTATCACTACACACCCACCATAAGGCTGGCAGGGATGCAGAGGAATAGTACTCTCCTACATTCTCGGGGGGGAGTAAAGAATAGTACAATTGCTTTGGGAAAAGGTCTGGCAGTTACTTATGAAACTAAACAATAACCTACTCTAGGACCCAGCTATTTCATTCCTAGATATTTACTCACAAGAAATGAAAACACATGTGTCTACAAGAAAAGACTTGTACTAGGATGTTCATAACAGTTATATTCATAATAGCTGGAAAACAGGTGTTCATCAATAGGAGTATGAAAAA